TAATATTGGAATAATTTTTTTTCACACCACTGTGGTATTTAATTAATTACTTTTCACTAGATTTATTTTTTTTTGATTAAGTGATTTTTTTTTTATAATATATAAATTGATAAAAAAAGTTATCAGTAATTATATTTATTATTATTATCATTATGAAATTAATCAGTTGATATTTTTTTAATCTTGAATGGTTTACATGCTTGTAAATTAAAATAAAATTAATTAAAAAAAAAGGTTAATTAAAAAAAAAATTTCTACTGTAGAAAAAAATTTCTTAAATAAAATAAAATTTCCAATTGTTTTGAAATTCCAAATTTTCAAATGTTTTCGCGGCTCAACGTATGTGTTGTAAATAAATAATTTGCTTTAAAAATAAAATAAAATTGTGAATATAAACAATGAATTTCCATATCTATTTTGCTTCTACAATTGTATAGTGTGAAAATATCCTTTTTATTAGAGAAACTTTAGAATTGCTACAATATTTTTCTGTATTATTTAACACAATAATAACTGAGTTGGAATAAATAATTCAAGATTAAGTACACACGTGAATGAAAATTATGAAAAAGAAATTTTTTCATTCTAGTGAAAGATCAATTTTTATTTACAAAAAAAATGTTATTAGCAAAAAAATCCATAATAATTACTTTATATTTTTGAAGTGATTGCTTCATTATTAAGAAAATAAACTTTTTTCTATTATTATGTGCGTCATTCCTATAATATTATAGGAACCATTCCTATAATATTATAAGAACCATTCCTATAATATTATAGGAACCATTCCCATAATATATTGAAGTTATTCCATTATTGTATAGGAACGTTTCCAATAAATTATGGGTATGGTTCCCATAATGAGTATAGGATTAATTCCTATAATGATAATTTTATTATAGGATCCATTTCCATAATTGTTGGAAAGATTCCTATAAATTTCTCTCCATGTACGGAATATAACGTAAGTCGGTATTTTGTATTATATGCTAAGCCTGTAAGTCTGTCCCGGCCGAAAAGCGCTATAGTCAGCTTGTAAGATTTAAATTTTTTTATGCTAACTGGCTTACTAAGTTTAGTAAGTACTTACTTCGGCCAAACACGCCCATTTTCTACTTTATCGATACTTATTTAATTCAGAATCTGCAAGACACTTCAACATTAAACTGTACCATATTGTAATTAGTTATTAATAAATTTAATTTAAGGGATAAATATCTTTATTGAGGAAAAATCTTGTGGAAGGGTATAAAAGCTTAAGCTCTAAAAGCAATTGTCCAATCTCTAAATAGAAATCAAGTATAACTACTGATTATTACTATAATGATGTGATTACTTAAAGTAAGATAATATTTAATTGTAATTGTTGATCTTAATATATTCGATGTAATATAATGCAATAAAGAAATACAAACTGACGACATGCGTTGCTTCCCAATATTTGTGAGGTTTATTGAAGCAATAGTTCGATTATTCTAATAAAAATATAAGTTTTTTTTTCTTTCTATTAAAAATTTGAAATAAGTGATACAGTTATTTTTCATTTTTAAATAATTCTGTACTTTATATTCATCTAAGATGGACTGTCAACATTAACCCTGAGGTTTAGAATCGTTGGATTTTGTGTTAATGGTGTTTTATAGCTTCTAGTTTTCTCGAATTCTCTACTCCATTTAAACAACCAATTTCCATCTGGACGTTCCTGTAAAATAATTATATATTAAAAATTCTGCTGAAAATAATATGCGCCATAGAGTCAACTAATTTTTTAGAGTTCGTAAAGCATATAAACGTAAAAATTAGTATTAATAACTACTTTTTCTCTATCATTAACAATTTTTTTGAATTCTGCTTGTTTGTGGTTTATTTTGTCAGAATTTATTGTAGACTTTTTCCGAGATCTTGGGTTTTTCTCCGTTACTTGATCAACAACAATTTGTCGTCTTCTTTTTGATTCGCTGTTGCCAATTGGTTGTGTTTCTTTTTGTGGACCAAGTTCAACAATTGTTTGAAAGTCTGCATGTTCGCCAAGTCTAAAGCCAAGACCAATCCGCGAATCCGTCCCTAAATTTAATTATAGATATTTTTATTTATAACTTTAACATCATCTCTAAATCTACAAATTTTCGATTGGTAAAATTAAAATTAGTTTAATTAAGTTTACATAAATTTATTAATTTTGAGACCAATTTTTGAAAATTCATTCAATCACAAGATTTCTATATTTAAAAGTTATTCAGAAAAGTCTCACAAGTTTGGAAGAATTGATCGATAGAGATACAATTTACTACACTTAAAAGAATTTTATTAATACAATTTAAATTTCTTGAAGAAATAAATTAAATCAGTAAGATAAGATTCGAGAAATCTTTGAAATTTTCAAAAAAATGTTGGTTTCTAATTATAAACTCTATTTCTCCAAAAAATACGTCTAATATAAAAAACCACGTCAAAATTTGTCCATTTATTTACTGTTATGAGTTACTCAGAGTAAATTTAAAGAAATTGCTTCGAATTTTTCTGTGTAGTTCATTTTACACTGAGTAATTTGAATTGTCTTGAATTTCTGAAAATAGATTTTTCTTTTTTATTAGCTAATATCTAGATTGAAAATTTGAAAAATAAAAATAATAAAAAATTTTTTGCGCAGTTCATTATGCCCCAAGTATACAAGATAGTTCCTAGGACTTCAAGAAATCAAGATATTGAACTCCTAAAAAAGTTTTAAACGACCGTTCATATACGGAAAAAAGTAAACTGTAATGAATAACAGTCGATTTATAATAAGTAATGATTAGCTGCTAAAAATTACCATTTCAAACAGTAAAATCGTGATTTTACTATTCACATTGTAATATTTACAATTTAAACGTTACAATTTACTCTTTACATGGAAGAAAATACTATTTCAAACAGTAATATTCGCTATGTAAATGTCTAAAATGTTAAAGTATAATAATTAAGAATTCAGACTTTAATATTGATCATTTCGTACCTAAAAAATGATGCTATGATATGTAAAAAGTATAAAATAAAGTTAGTAAATTTCTAATACAAGCCACGTCAATATTTACAAAGTAAAATGGTAAATTTTAAACGCAACGCTAAAAATCAAACTGTAATTATTGACTTGCTTAGACTGGTAAAATGTATATTTTAAAAGTATAATTTTTACTGTTTGAAATGTTAAATTCTCCCAGAGTGAGACCCCCTTCTCTTTCATCTGAGTTCCCCTTCTCTTCATAATATGGACTATATATTGAAATGGCAATTTTTACTGTTTGAAACTGTAATTTTTAAAGATGAAAGAGTCGTTATTTACTATAGTGACAACTACTAATCACTTATTTTGGATATTAAATTATAAATTGTGGCTTTTATACTTTCTACATTAAGTTCTGTAATATTTACATTTTTGCCACCCCGATGTCCGCTTTACTGTTTGAAACTATAAAAACTAACCGGAATCCGAGTGAATATTACACAGAAAAAAGTAAACTGTAAATCGACTGTTATTCATTACAGTTTACTTTTTTCCGTGTATTTTTTTTAAAAAATTTTTCATGAAATTAAAAAAAAAAAAATCTGAAAAAAGGTTAACTCTGTAGGCCATTTTTGAAACCTCCCGCTATTTTTAAACCTCAAAACATTTAAAAATTTTCTCATTACAAAGTTTTGAGCTCTTCAGACTCAAAATTTCAATTTTTGTAGTAGTTGTATGAGTATAAAAATTTTTTTAAAATTTTGAATTGCAATATCTCGGGAACGAATCAACCAAATTTCATGGGGTTTTCAAGATTCAACGCTATTTTTTAACACAAAAAAATAAAATCCTACTTCAAAAGTAATCCAACGCAAAGTTTCGATGTTATATTAGAAACTCAAAACGTGGAAATCTAATAGAAACTCAATACTCAAAAATCGAGGTGAAATAAAATTTTTATTTCTAGAAAGATATTAAAAATAGAAATATATGTTTTAAGAATTATCAAAGCTAATTTCCGATTATTTTAGCTGCTAAAATTAAAATATACTAATAATAAGTCATGAAAAATTTACTATTTTATATATCACAGCTGCACGGTCTGGACGCAAAATTGACAAAAAAAGAACTGTTTTGAATCAGAACCTTAAGAATCTCAAGAATTTAAATATTCTGTTGTAAGCGACAATTACCACATATATGAAAATTAAGTTTTAAGAATCAAAATTTAAAGTTGATTACAAAAAAAATATATTGATAATTCTTAAGTATTTCCAACAAAGAATTGAAGAAGTATAAAATTTAAGTTATCCTTACCTTTTTTTACAGGTGGTATATTCGCAAACACAAGTGAAAGGATTGAAGGTAATTCTTCAGGGATAATAAGCCCATTAACATCTAAAACAATGATTTAATTTCATCAGATTTTAGCAATCAAATAATAATAAATTCATATAATCAAATAATAAACTCCTCCAGTATTGAAGTTTTCAAGAATAAAATATTTTACTATTTACTTAATTTGGATATTTAACTTATGTAACTAATCTACAAAAATAATTTAATTGGATTCAGTTAAATCGAAATCTAAAATATAAAATATGAGATTCCTCAAATTTGCTTAACTCTGTTATCAATTGATCATAAAACTACACGTTGAGAAATTTATGGTAATGATTGCCATCATTCATTTTTAATGATTACCATTCCCGATGATAATTTAAATATTATTCACTATTATGTTATTGGTTAAAATCTTGCATAATAACTATTACCATCGCGATAGTAATGAATACTATCACGATACTAATAGTTACCATTATGATACTAATTATTATTATTATTATTGTAATGGTTACCATCGTATATTTAAAGACCAATGTTGTTTTCAAATAGTCCTTTACGTAGATTTCTTCAGAAATTTACATTAAAATCAAATTTTTACGAGAGTTTCCAAAATAACTTCAAAACTATAGTTGATCACTAAATTCTGACAGTTGAATTTTCATATAATAATCAAAATATGAAAAATTCAAGCGAATACTCAAATAACAGGTCTCGATGAGTGTAACATCGGAATGAGTTTATGTTTTTAAAAATGTCAATATTTAAGAAATGGCATTGTATCATGAGCTAATGATATTTTTCAAGATATTAGCTCATCTTGACATAACACTCATGGAGACCTTTGATTATACACATGAGGTTTTTTATATATTTTATACATATTTATGCCTTATGTATTTAAATATAAATAGAATATAAAGAGTAATTAATTGAAAGGAAATTCCGATAATTTTTTGAAAAGTTATTTTGAATAATTTTGCATGCTTTTTTGCTTCTTAACCCTAGACTGGTCACCTCTTTTTTAGTTTCTTACTCGCACAATAGCGAGACTCTATAGGTTGAGTAGTTGTTAGGCGGCGTCACGCTCATCGGCTGACCAGTCTAGGGTTAAGTATGATCTTACACGATCATGCATTATTCATGCACGATCATATACAATTTATACATGATCATATCTACTTCATACTTGATCAAGCATGATCCCGCGTGTTGATTTTTTCCGAAGGAAAGATAAAATTAGAAAATTTGTTTTAAAAGTTATGCAATATTCAAATTTTTACCATTCTCTGAAATTTTCAAGTTTTTTAGTAGATTTCATAGAAATCTAACTATTGCATTGGTCGTCTAGACACAACTTTTAAAAAATTTTTCAAACCAAAAAGATCCCAACGTACCTCTCCCAACACTTAAAGTCGGCGATATGACTAATTAAAGAAAAAAAAAAATTAGGAGCGACCTTTCAAAATTCAAATTTTGAACTGAAATTTTCAGAAACTTATTTCTTTTTAGTCTATAAGATTATACCGTAACGAGAAAAAAAATTAAAAAATAAAAAAATTCGATTTTTGACGATTTTTGAAATTTTGAAAAATTTGGAGTGACCTCTTAAAAATTTTTTTTTGAGCTGTCCTTTGGTGAGGGCTCTTAAAACATCAAAAACTAACATTTTTTAACTCGAGACTCAAAAAAAAAAAAATAGTCGGTTTTTTTTGCGCCACCCTAATATATATATTAGGGTGCTTCATTTAAAACGAAAAAATTTTTTTTTTCGTTGATACATGAAAATTTTGTTCCTTATATCGAAAAAAAAATTCCCCGAAAATTTGAGACATAAATTTTAATTTTAAATGGTTCCTTTCGATCGATGTATATTTCTTATTTAAATAACATATAAATTATGATTTTTTGAATTTAAATTAATGTAGCTCCGTTTGATTTGATGGTATTTCATTGCGATTAGTCGGAATTTGTAGTATATTAGTGACTCTTTGAAAGTGCCCTCTAACATTTTTTTGTATTCGTACCCTTCTCATCGGAGTCGGCCTCGAAACCCCTATTTTCTCAAAAATTGTTATATTTTCGTTCTTATCAACAAAACAGTTGAAGTTATAAGAAAATTGTCAAAGAATAATTTGCAGGTAATTAAATTTCCTACAAAAATATCCCTGTAAGAATTTTCTAAGGTGCATAGTCTAAAAGGTATAAACAGGTTAATGTATTAAAATCTAAAAAAAATATGAAATTTCAATTTTTATTGTATGATTTTTCAACTGACGCTTTTTTTTTTAACAAAATTAACCTTATTCAACTTTTTTTTTAGAAAAAAATATCAGTCAAATCGAGAAGAGATAATAAAAAAAATTTTTCAACGCTTTATTTTCAAGAATAAAATGTCTCATGTGGAATTCTGATATTTGTTCATTGTCAAATATTTTTTTTTGTTCTTAGTATAAAGATATATACCAAAATTAGTTTTAAAAACAAGTCAAATTTGAAATAGTAAATTGTGCAACAAGTGCGACAACGTTGCATTACAAATGCGACTATATATGCGAGCACAAAACCGGGGTCCGGGGGCAGAGCCCTGGTGGGGTCCAGGGGCAAAGCCCTGGCGGGGGGTCGGGGGCGGAGCCCCCCCAGTCCCTGAAAACAAATAAAAAGTTAAGAAAAAAGAAACAAATATATATCAGATAATAAATGCAAAGTAATTGATATTAGTTAACAAAAAATAAATTTACACATTGAAACAATCGACACATAAAATTAAATGACATTAAATATAGCTGTCACTGCAATTTTTTAATTTTCTTTAATAAACAAATTTGTTCCGAAAAATTATTCATAAAAAATTGCATTTTTTATTTTATAAAATCCCTACATGTCAATTTAAAAAAAATTTTTTTTAAAGATATCAAATTTCTGGTAAATTAATTTTCATCACAATTAAACAGCTCAATTTAAGTTAATTATTTTCACTTTCGTTAAAAATATGAACGTTGTAATGTCAACGTCACTTCTTCAATATTGACAGTTAGATTGTCATTTTTTTTTGTTATTTATTTTAATTTTAGCAGTTTTCGCCGTCACTTGCATGCGACAAGGATAGTTTGAGTGCACTAAGAATAATTTGCGTGCGACAAGTAAACTTGTCGCACTCAAACAACAGTTTCCTTTATGAAAAAACTCATGCGTAATTTTAAAATGGGCAAACAGCTCTTTTTCAACCGCAATAGCGAGCGCCAAGATACTACTTTTCCCACATGAGTAATACAAAATTATTTTTTGCACTTCCCGCGGAAAACGGTTTAGATCTCACCAGATATAATTATATCTGGTCAGATCTGATTATATCTGGTTAGATCTATTTATATCTGATCAGACATGGGATTGGAGACATAATCAGATCTAGTTATATCTGATCAGATCTAAACAGATATAACTATATCTGAGTTGAAAAATTCATCAGACATGATCAGATCTAGTCATATCTGATCAGATATAAACAGATATAACTATATTTGAGTTGAAAAATTCATCAGACATGATCAGATCTAGTCATATCTGATCGGGTCTAAACAGATATAACTATATCTGGGTTGAAAAAAAAATCAGACATAAAAAGATTTTATTATATCTGGCCAGATATAACTATATTTGTTAACTATTAATAAATACTTATAAACTATTTTACTAAATATACTTTCCTCCCAAATAAATATTTATTGAATGTTAAAAAATATTTATTAGAATTTAATAAATTAAATAATTGTTTTCGAATAAATTAATTTGTTAATAGTTAATAAATCTTCCCATCAGCGTATATTGATAATTAATAATTTGCAATGAATTTGATAAAAAAACTTTGTTTATTACGTATCGATCATGGACACGATTCACATTACTTGTACCCGGGAAAAACAGATTAGATCTGGCCATATATAAACAGATCTGGCCAGATCTGCTAAGGCTATTAACTATAGTTATTACAAACTCTACCTACTCTCGTTTCAAGCAAGTCTCGTTGGTAAACAGGTAATGAATTAGTCTCTCAAGCGTCAGGTCCCAGGTTCGGTTCCCGTGCGCGCCGATTTTTTTTTTTTTTTATGAAAATAATTCTATATAATTGTATATAATTATATATGGCCATTTTTCGTATATAATTATGTATGAGTATATGGGGCATTCCACGCCAAATCAACCACTTTTGACCCTGACCCCTTTTGATTTGGCTGAAAGTTTACCATCCTTTTCTACCCTATCAAAAACGTCTCTCATAATTTTTTCAAATTTTTTTACCCCACCAAAAAAAAGTTCCGAATTTTTCAAAAAAAGCCGTTTTTTTATTTTTAAATTGCCATAACTTTTTCAAAAATTGGCTTATCGGGACGTTTTTTTTTTCAAAATTTTTGTTATTAAATGTTCTTTTTGGAAAAAAAATATAAAAAAATTCTTTAAAGCTATCTTCATCGTTATTTTTAAAATTTTTAGAAAAAACGAATTTTTTTATGAATACCATTTTTAGTTTCTTTTTTCTTTTTCTCATTCTAAACTTTGACATTTTTTACAGATATCATGAAATTTCCAGAAAGGTGTTTTTCCGATTTCTATTTTTTCTTTTCAATTAAAAAAAAAAAATTTTTTTCTTTTGTCGTATTTTTCATAACACCGGTCCAAAAATTTACGGGAATCCTCAAAAAAACAAGAAAAAAGTATAGAACCACAATTTAATATGTTAATCATCGAGAAAATCAATTTTTTTTAAAACAAAAGAAATTGAAAAACAACAAAAAATATAGAACTAAAAGTTAACCAGATTAGCTTCTCAGAATTGCTTTTAAAATTATTCATCCTTGTGAAGGCTCAAATCTATTTTTAAATTACTCTAGAAGTCGTCGAGAAACGATAGTTTGCGCCACCAATGAATCCTCCTCATAAAAAAAAAAAATTAATTAAGTGCCATCACTAGAAACAATATTGTTAAAGAACATTTTTTTGCTTAACTAAGGAAAATGTTTTTATTAGTTTAAGAATCATTGCATTTCAGTCATTATAGTCATGTATTAAACCATTTGACAAAACCATTTTAATTATAAAACTTAGAGTATCGGAGAACTGTTCATTTCAACGCCCACCATTCATTAAGCATTAAATAAAAAAAAACAATTGTAGAAAAAAGAAACTAAAAATGGTATTCATCAAAAAATTCGGAGTTTTTCTAAAAATTTTAAAAATAACGATGAAGATAGACTTTAAAGAATTTTTTTATATTTTTTCCAAAAAGAACATTTAATAACAAAAATTTGAAAAAAAAAACGTCCCGATAAGCCAATTTTTGAAAAAGTTATGGCAATTTAAAAATAAAAAAGCGGTTTTTTTGAAAAATTCGGAACGTTTTTTTTGGTTGGGTAAAAAAAATTTGAAAAAATTATGAGAGACGTTTTTGATAGGGTAGAAAAGGATGGTAAACTTTCAGCCAAATCAAAAGGGGTCAGGGTCAAAAGTGGTCGATTTGGCGTGGAATGCCCCATATATAACTATATATAATCATTTTTACCTGGGCAATTTTAAAATTTGACCAGATCTGGTCAGATCTGATTATATCTGGACAGATCTCGTCAGATAGAGACAATTTAAAGATCTGGCCAGATCTGCTAAGGCAGATCTGGCCAGATCTGTTTATATATGGCCAGATCTAATCCGTTTTTCCCGGGTTGGTACTTTTATTTCTATTTACGGCACTGTTAACCTTAAACAAGTGTTTATAATTTTACCGCGGGAGAACAATGAAGTAAGCTCTGATTACAATTATTTCAATCTAAGACGCTTTATTCTCTACATCATATGTTTTACTTACGTATATTTGAAAGCTCCACGATAGTAAAATCAGTGTTACAAACAAATCATTTTTTTATCAATAAAAAATAATTGAATAAATTTAATTTTGTTAAAAAAAAGCGTATAATGATTCGATAATAAGGTAGAGTTAAAAAATCATACAATAAAAATTGAAATTTTATATTTTTTTTAGATTTCAATACATTAAACTGTTTATACCTTTTAGACTACGCACCTCAGAAAATCCATACAGGGGTATTTTTGTAGGAAATTTAATTTCCTACAAATTAATCTTTGACAATTTTCTTATAACTTTAACTGTTTTGTTGATAAGAACGAAAATATAACAATTTTTGAGAAAATAGGGGTTTCAAGGCCGACACCGATGAGACGGGTTCAAATACAAAAAAATGTTAGAGGGCACTTTCAAAGAGTCACTAATATGCTAGAAATTCCGACTAATCGCAATGAAATATCATCAAATCAAACGGAACTACATTCCTTTAAATTCAAAAAATTATGATTTATATGTTATTTAAATGGGAAATATACATCGATCGGAAGGAACCACTTAAAATTAAAATTCAGGGCTCAAATTTTCAGGGAATTTTTTTTTTCGATTAAAGGAACAAAATTTTCATGTACACGGAAAAAAATTTATTGTTGCTGCAACAGGAGGAAGTCATGTTGCAGCAACAGGAAAAAATCCTGTTGCAGCAACAGGATTTTCCTTCAGCTGCAACAGGAGGCAGCCATGTTGCAGCAACAGGAAAAAATCCTGTTGCAGCAACAGGATTTTCCTGTAGCTGCAACAGGAGGCAGCCATGTTGCAACAACAGGATTTTTTCCTGTTGTTGCGATTTGATAGTAAAATATAGTTGGGTCAATCCATGTTGAATCAACCAATAGTTGGAATCAACCCCTTTTGATTTGGATAAATTTTGGTCAAAGTTTTCTTTTATCATACAATGAACTGCTGCTAAAGGAAAAAAATAAAAAAAATTTTTTCAAAAGATATGCAAATTCAAAATTTCGCGATTTTTCCAGTTTTTCAATTTTGTTTTTGTTATATCTCGAACGCTATTATAGATACTGGAATGGCCTTTCGTTTGTTTGAAAGGGGACACTTGGGGCTATTGAAAAAAAAAATATTTTGAAAAATACCCAATTTGTTAAATTTTGAATTTTTGAAAATCGAAAAATGACGATCTATATTAAAATTTTGGCTCAATTTTTTTTGTATAATACCTTGTACTGATCTTAAAAGATCCTGAAATTTTTAGAACTGTGATTTTTTTTTCACTTTACTTCATTTAAAGTTGTTGACGCCAGTTATCGTCTTATTAACATGAAAATGATTTAAAATTTGAGATTGAGCAACATTAATATGCAGAAATTTGTAAGTAAACAAGTACTCAAAAGAACGAAAAAAAATTGATATTCTCAACACATTATTTCTGATTGTTATTGGAAATTTACATCTATTTGAGTTATTTGACGTTAAAAACTTTTATTGAAGTGAACAAACGGAGAAAATATATCATGCGTTAAAAAAATAAGAAATTATATTATGTGTTAAGCTTGACTTTAAGATTACGTTCAAAAAATAGAAAAAAAAGTTGAAATTAATTTATTATTTAATATTTCCACGTCATGCATTTATTTTTAATGCTCAAAATTACAATACTATATATCTGCATAACTTTACATTATTTAGAAGTTGCGAAAAACAAAAGAAAATTTTTTTTTGAAATTGAAAAATTCGTATTTAAAAAAAAAACACATCAGTTCTAAAAATTTCAGGATCTTTTAAGATCAGTACAAGGTATTATACAAAAAAAAATAGAGCTAAAATTTTAATATAGATCGTCATTTATGACGATTTTCAAAAATTCAAAATTTAACAAATTTGGCATTGTTCAATATAGTTTTTTTTTCAATAGCCCCAAGTATCCCCTTTCAAACAAACGAAAGGCCATTCCTGTATCTATAATAGCGTTCGAGATATAAAAAAAACAAAATTTTCGCTAAGAGATGCAGAAATAATACACGAACGAATTCTAAGATACCTTACAGGAGTTTGCGGGGGTGGGTGTTAACAATTAAAATTTTTAATTTCCAAGCTATAGCTCCTATAAACTCCAAATTTAGTAGAGGTCTTCTATATGTTATATAAAAATGATCTAATAATGGATTTTACAACCAATCAACTCCAATAATGATCGTGGGGGTGAGTGTTAACAATAAAAAATCTTAATTTCCAAAATATAGCTTCTAAAACCACTAAATTTGGTAGAAATTTTTTATCTCTTATGTAGAGATCACCTCAAAATTTCCTAAAGTTCACTTCCGATAGGAATTGCGGAGGTGGGTGTTAAAATCTAAAATTTTCATTTTAAAACTGTAACTTCTACAGACTCCGAATTCGCCGAGAATCTTCGTGTATGATGTCCAGTTCAGTTAAGGGGTTACGGGGGCGTTAATAATCAAAATTTCCCGTTTGTAAAATATAGCTCTTATACATCTCAAATTTGGTCAAAATCTTCTATATGTGGTGTAGAAATAATCTGCCCATGCAGGAAACCCCCAGAGTTGACAAAGGGGCCAGGCTTGGGCCAGTACTGGGAGACCTAGCTTCGGCGTACCTGTATTGGCCCATTCGTGGGCCAGGCTGTTTAACCCAGCCTCGGTCATGCCAATAATTATCCAAGCTTGGGCCAAGACTGGCTAACCTAGCTTCGGCCATGCCAATAATTATCCGAGCTTGGACCAAGACTGGTTAACCTAGCCTTGGCGATTCATTGGCGACCCAAGCTTGGGCCAAGACTGGGCAACCAAGCCTTGGTCGGCCTTGGTCGGCCCAATTATTAACCGAGCATGGGCCAGAACTGGGTCCCCCAGTCAGAGCCACAATGATTACCCAAGGGTTAGCCAAGATTGGGAAACCTACACTGAAAAAAAATTAAGTTAATTCAAGAGAAAAATTCTTGAACCAAGAAAATAACTGAAGAGTTTAATTGTCTTCAATCAAAACGAAAAATTCTTTAATTCAATAAAATTTACTTAAACCAAGAAAAATTTCTTAGTTCAAGAACTTTTCTATTCAAATCAAGAAAATGAAATTCTTAAAAATTATTTACTTGATTCAAGTAAATTTTTTTTTCTGTGTAGCCATGGCCGTTGAATGGCAACCCAGATTTGAGCCAGAGTTAGGTAACCTAGCCTTAGCCATTCAATGGGAAATTCAATCTTAATAAATCATTAAGTAATAGAATTTTAAACAATAAATATTTATTGTTTAACGAATATTTGCTAACAAATTCTAAAATTTAAAATTTATTATTTAACCAAGACAATTGCATATCGTCAAAATTGATATAGTCTCAAAAAAATTAAAATATAATAATTTACAGTTGAATTTTTAATATTGATAATTTTAAACATGAAAATTTTATCATAAGATATTAAAAATATACAAAACGATGTACAAAGTTTAAAGTAATATAAGAACTTGACTCTTGAATTTTTCTAACTAATAAACATTTGTAAAAAATAGTTAATTTTCATCAAAAAACAATATTAAATAACATAAATTATATAAATAATAAACCGTCACATTTCGTCACCATATAGATTTAGCTTACGAGAATGATGAGATGTGTATCAACCTATCGGTCGTACGGTGTAGGGGTTAGGTGTCGGTCTGGGAAGCGCGTGGCTCGGGTTCGAATCTCGGTTAGAACGGATACGATTTTCACTTTATTTCTATAATTTGCGACAGTTAGGATTAAATTCACTCTACTGATTAAATAAAATAAAAAAAAAATTATTTTTTTATAATTTTTGATCAAATGGCATGGGTCAGACTTGAAAATTAACTATGGCTCAGCCCTGGTAACCAGGCATGGGCCAGTCCTGGTAACCAGGCTTGGCCCAGTCCTGGTAACCAGGCTTGGCCCATCGTTATCATCCCAGACTTCAACCAGGACTAGGCCAAGCCTGGCTTACAAGCTTGGCCCAGAGTTTTACATAGTTGGGCCAAGCTAGGCCCCGTGGTACTTTCCTCTATGGGTGAGAGCAGATTTTACGACGAATCACCCCCAATAAGGATTGCGAGGGTAGGTGTTGCCAAAAAAAAATCTTAATTTCCAAAATATAGCTTCTAAAAGCTGTAAATTTGGTAGGAATCTTTTATTTATCATGTAGAGATCATCTCAAAATGGATTCCAAAAAATTCTACTTCCGATAGGGATTGCGGGGGTGGGTATTAAAATCTAAAATTTTAATTTTCAAACTGTAACTGCTGCAGATTCTGAATTTGGTAGGAATCTTCATGTACGATGTCAACTTTAGCTGAAAATGAATTTTCTCGAATTCTAACCCCAAAAGGGATTGTAAAGGCATTAACAATGAAAATTTCTCATTTCTAATCGAAAGTTTTTATAGACTCGAAGTTTTGTTGGAATCTTTTATTTATAATGTTGAAATCATCTCGAATAGGATCTTACGAAGTTTCTCCCCCACATAGGAGTGCGGGAGTGATAATTTTCAAAAAATTCATATTCTTCAAATACAGTTCCTACAAATATAAAATTTGATAGAATCTAAAGAGAAGCAGACGAATACCGGGATGGCCTCCAAGGTCAACGGATTTAAATATTTTTCTTACTTAATAGTGATTTTCTTACAACAATCGTCTCTTTGGCAGCGGCAAAAAAGTCATTGTAACGTTTCCAAAATTTAACATTACATATAGCTATTCACTCAACGGACTAAGAATTTTACATACATTTTATCACATAACCGATGAATTGTTCTTATTACGGGATCGCGAAAATGTAACAGATTAAAAGCATTGCATTTACTAAACGCATGAGATATAGAAAATATGAAAAAAAAAAAAATAAAAATGAAACATAAAATTTAATTTATTTCTTTTTCAATTCGCCCAGCGGAGCGGGCGGGAACCGCTAGTAATTTTGTATAATCATATATGATTTCATATAATTGTATACAATAGGGCGTTTCAAAAAAAAAAAAATTTTTTTTT